ACGGTTTTAACAAATCGTTTTGATTTTTGTTTTTTGGTTATTAATTATTACTCGTGGAAATCGTTTATCAAAAGTGTTGCCATTAATAGACACATCTTTGACGCACTCTTATAATTGAGATTCAAATGAATGGTTTGATATAAAATCACAAACACTTAATGCAAATAAAGGGACAGCAATCTTAACATTAGCTTTATAATGACATTTACCCCATGTATTGGTTGTGTATTTCAGTTGATTAGTGATTACTTTTAAATGCGTTTAATTTATCGTAAAATTATCGCAAAAATTATTTCAGTTTTTCGTACATTTCTGATAAACAAAATAGTTTCACAAATAAGTTCAGCCTATTTCTTAAGACATTTTTAATCAAAAAATTCTTTGATTTACTTTATTTTGAATGAATATTTGTTTATTTTGAATGAAACACAGTGTCATTGAGTCATACAGAGTACAACTTTTGTTCAAAATACAACTTTTTTGTTAGTATTCATTAAATACTCTGTATTTCTATACGTTTTGTGAATTGTAATGAAACTTTTGAAATTACAATTCATTTCTAGTGAATGCAATTTTTTATTAGGAATAATGTATCGAATTATAGTGTAATTGTGGGAATTTGAAGCCATTATTCTTATGGAGTATTGAATTATGCATTCAATGGAAAAAACAGACAAATACTGGTAGTAATGAAGACTCCAATTGTTGTCTGAGTTTAGGGTTTAGTGGTTTTGAATAGATATTTGAAATTATATCCGAGGAGTCGCTTGAAACATATATACAGTAATTACTGAAACATTGATTATTATATGGAGAATAATGTGAAAGCATTTATTTAATTAATTTATGAATTTATTGATCGCATTATACAATAGTTATGAATAATTAAGATTACATTTACGAGTCATTTACCAAATGAATCATTCTTTCAGTTATTTCTTTGTATAACTTATAATAATTTGTTTGAAGTCATCGTTAAGATGGAAATAACATTACAATAGATCGGCATTTTATACCCTTTTAATTGAAAAACATTTGATAATTATTTTCATAGCTATTATTTCACATTTTATCAAACCATTTGGTGATTAAGCAATAGTTTTATTATATTTACCGTATTTAATAACATTTCACAACACATGAACGTAGCGTAGGAATAGGAAAATAATATTTATGATATTCAACTCATTTATACAGAATTTATAATAAAAATATATTTCATTGCTAGGAGTCAAATGATTTTGCATTTAAATAATAAACAGTAGTTTTTGTTGTATTTGTGAAGACATGTAAAGAATGTGTGAATCAAACAGTGTTTCAAAAGTTTGTTGCAATGATTTGGTGCCAAAACTGTAAGACATTGAATGTCGCAAATAATTATTTAATTAACGTTTAAAACATTGACCTTATTTTTAATTCCAAGACTTGTATTAAAATAAATAAATTCTGTATTTTTTTCCTTCACATTCTCATCATTCGCTTTAAACTACTTCTAAATCTCCTAATTATTATCGCTTTTTCCCTAATGATATGTTTGAAAACTTTTTTTATTAACTTTTGATTAAGTATTGATAGACTGTATTGAAACCAATGATTATCTATTTGGATGAATAGCTAAGGAATTCAAGCGACCCATCGGGCGATTCTAATGTGACGACCGGTCAGTTCATAGGCATCATAGCCTCGCGAGTCTTCTACATGAGTCTGGGTTACCCAGACAGGTAGTTACCAGTGGTAAGGAAAACACCGCTAATATATATGAGTCCTGTATGTCAGTAGAATTGTGATCCATAAGTTCGTGAACGGTATGAATTGTGGTTTACTAAATAACATAAAAACACCAAAAATCATGACATTACCGTACGTTTGAAAGAATCGCAAAATAGCACATTTCTAGTAAAATAGCTTATATTGACTCTAAAGTGCATTTCTCTCACAGTTATGCATCCAATTGACTAGTTTTTAAAAATATATTTCTAGTCATAAAGTATTTGATTTAAAAACACGTTTAACAAATATGTTAAGAATATGATAAAAATGTGTAGTTTTGAAAAAATAATTGCGTTTCTGTTAAGCAAATAATGGGTTATCTTATCCATTGTTGAACTCAATTTTTTATTTAAATTTCCTCTTATAATACAAATTGTGTTTTTCAGTCATTTATTGACATTTAGCGAGAATTTAGTTAACAAATCAGAGAATTAATGATATTTATTGGATATTTCCGGTNTGCGTTTCTGTTAAGCAAATAATGGGTTATCTTATCCATTGTTGAACTCAATTTTTTATTTAAATTTCCTCTTATAATACAAATTGTGTTTTTCAGTCATTTATTGACATTTAGCGAGAATTTAGTTAACAAATCAGAGAATTAATGATATTTATTGGATATTTCCGGTTTAATATATTTGATACGAACTTTCCTTTTGATAACTGGTGTAACGGAGTTTAATGTCATATAACGTGTAGTTTTAAAGTTTAATAATAAGTTATCTGTTTTTTAACTGCGAATCTAAAACAGGTTTTTAAAAATGTTGTTTAAATACCGCATAACTGTATTTTGATTACATTAATATCTGCTTGCTTATGATGTGGAAAATATATGAATCATCGATGAAATATTTTAAGTATTTGTTGTTTTAATTATTTTTAAAAACAATTAGCTATTTGTTTATAATATCTATAAAATCAATATTATTTTAAGAAAACAATTCTATCATTAAACTGATTGTTTATTTGAGAAAATATTTGACAAGAATTTTTTGGTACTGTAATTGGGTTTCACATTATGAGGAATATTCTCAAAGAGATTTTTAAATATATTTATAGCAATGGTTTCCACAGAAACAGAATTTAGATGTTGTCTTACATTTGAAATACAGATATTTTCTATACTATTGAATAATCACTTGTTATTACAAAGCTATTCAATTTCAGTATAAAGTTATTTAGAGTTCTGTCTACAAGTGATTAATGAATCAAATTTCACTAATAAGATGTTTTTTGTTTCTATTTGAATGGAAAGCCTATTTGATGTTTCGTGAATACGTCGTCCCATCCCGTTGTCGGACATATTTGTGGAAATTAGTGAACATATTACTGATCGGACTGACCCTAACGGGAGTCATATGCATACTGATAGCCCGGGGGCACTACCTAATCGATATAGTGATCGCATACTTCGTAACCACTCGAACCTTCTGGATTTATCACACGCTATGCTATAACAGCGCTCTCAGGGTTTGTATACATTCCTCGCATTTCACAAACGTTTCACACATTTCTCCATTCAATTCACCCAACCTATGCCTCCAGTCTTTGCACACTTTGACACAAATCTCATAAATAAATATTTGAGTTTAACGTCTTGTTATTCACTTTACAGTTTCAGCCGCAAACCAACTACCTGTCCCGCGTCTGGTGGTACCAGATATTCATATACTTCGAGAGCGGACACCAATTCAGTGGAAGCATGACATGCGGCGATCGGGCCGACAGTCCCGTTGCGCCCCAAATGATTGTGCGATCGTTTGAGTGGCCCCTCCCGTGGCCGCGAGTTTTTCGCCGCAAACGCCGGTCCGCTCAACGGCTCCTTCAAACACAACAGGCATAGAGTCGACTAATCATTCATGTCTTGCCACATATTATATCATTATTAGGTATTCACACAAATGATACATGAAGTCAAATGACATTTAAATTATGTGAATGTAATTAATGGTTCATTTTCTTAATGAATACAGAAATACATACATCTGTTGTAAGCAATCGATACATTTTGTGATTATTACACATTAATAGTCCTTTTAGTTGTCTCTCTAAGTTATTTATTGTTAATTCAAATCATTGTGAGCTCTAAAATTTGGATATAGTTTATTATATTGAAAGACATTTATTTTCTTGTCTTTTAGTCATTAATTGAGAAAACAATTGTTTGATTTGAATTGATTTCCCAATTAAACCCAATGATTGCAATGAATTTATTTGTAAATTACAGTCTACTAATATTCTGTAATATATTCCTCAATGAAACTATATTTTATTTATTTATAATAATTACAAAATACTATGATATTGGTTGCGAAATGAATTTTAATTTATAGGGAAACGAAATAATTATACCGTTTATTAATAACACTAATTATATTATTTACTTTAAATCTCGTAAATTGTTTGTTTAATATATGATTTAATTACCGGTTTTCCAAAACAAAATTCATAAATAGCATTAAACACCCAAAATATTAACGGTTTAAATCTTAAAATATTTTTATAAATTTTTGTCAATTTCTTAAAAACATTTTGAGACGCTTTCCAAACGGATATGCGTGTAAAATATGTCCATTTGTTAGGGGTTTGGTTTTACGTTAACGAAAGCTTTATTTTCATTGATTACTATAATTTCCATAACTATTACGAAAGGTGTGCTCTTTTTTAGTTTATTTTTGTCAACTTTCCATCGATTTGTTATCGATTCCCAAATTTGTTGTTATTTTTATTTCTATTATATTTTTGTAATATTTATGATAAATGTTAGATATCTTTGTGAACATAAGTTCTCTTATATTTTCATTCAATTAGGAGCTAATTATTGAATCGCTTTTCGCACGTTTTCAGTGTATAATTATAATTATTTTAACATACAATCGCTTTTGTATTCAATTCCCATCCAATGATCAAAAAAGTTATGCCAAAAATGGTTTTATTTTATGTTTTATTTTTACAATTCAAACCAAAATTTGTATTTATATTAGAAAGATATGGCTTTAATTAACTGTTTTTAGTATTCCCAATAGTTTTGTGTTTTTAATCATTAAAACACCGTTTTTATAGTAATGTCCGACTTTTAACGCATATATAAATAATTTAATGAATTGTGTTATTAATTATTGTGAGGGAAAAACATAATGTAATTTTTGTGAACATTTGATTGAAATGTGATTCAAATTTAGATGCGACAATATTTGTAGCTAAATATTGGTTTGTAAATACCATTTTACATACATTTTAGCTATGGTTTCAATTTTATTGTACAAAGCGTTTGAATTCAAACCAAAAAATATAAATACACTAATTGTAAAGAAAATGTTTTGTTTAGATAAACATTGTTTGTAATTCAGTTTGTGTTACGGACTGAAAATGAGAGCTATATATAAATACTTTAAATTCATCAAACAATTCACATTTGTCTCATAAAACAGAACTTAACTAATGTTTAGACAATTATAACATGTTTGCAAAGTTTTAAGATATAAATTTATTACCATTTCATTCCATTGATAATAGTTTATAATTTATAAAAACAATTGTTTTCGAGTAGTGTTTTAAAAATTATGTTGCAAATCAAATGTCCATTAATTGATTAAACAAATTATAGAATATTTTCCTAAAAAATCAATTGTGAATATAAATAATGATAACATAATTATTGTAAAAATTTGGCACAAATTACTACAAAAAAATTGATAGAATTTTATGAATAAGACATTTATTTTATATTTATTATATATATACCTGTATATGAGAGTTGTTTGCAAAATAACAGTCGATTTAAGGTTTTTAAAAATGTGAATGTCATAAAATTTACAATTTAAACTAATGTTAACCGTTTTTGAAACGAATAATAGATTGATTAAAATATGTTTTCCGGGTGAGATTTGTATATTGAGAGTAAAGTTTACAAATTTGTTGACAGAATGTAAAACGATTTGATACTCAAAAGCGTTGTATTGATATTAAACTGTATGTCTAATTGAGTGCCAATTAATTCGATATAATTATAAATGATTTGTTAAAATGAATTTTTTTTGAATAAATGAATTATGAAAATGCTATGAAATTTTGTTGCTTATTATTAGTGTGCAAAACACATTGAATTTACAGTGCAGTCTAAACTTTATTATCGACTTTTAATCTTTGATTTGTTTGCATTTCCACAAAATATTCACTATTTTTATACAATTATTAAAATATTCTCATATCATAGCGAATGATAGCGAAAATCAAAACCAAAAACCAATTTTAGTTGAGATTGTACTTAATATTTAAACACATGTACAATCATATATTCAATGTAATTCAAAATCCATTAAATGCTTATTTAATTAACTTTTTTTGCACCGAAATAACTATTCATTAATTTCTAATAATATATATATATTATATACAGTATATATAAATTAATGAGAATTCAGCAAAATATTTATCATATATTTCAGAATAAAGTTTTCCATTTATCACTAGAAGTCTCTTATCGTAAGTTAAGTTAAAGTGATTTTTCATTTGAATGCATAATAAATATGTTTTTCGGAGAGAGACTCAGGAATCGTTGGTTGACTTCATTTTGCTGTTGAAAACCAGTGAAGAAAATCTGGTTCTTAGAGTTGTTTCCATAAGACTTTTGTCTCCACTTCTAAGCCATGCGTTAAGAGTCTGACAATTCTTACGTAATCAACAAAAATTCAAATCTAATGCCGGCATTGATTTTGTACTCAAAAAACAATAGTTTAATTGAAATGATTAATAACTAATTGTATTAAAAATATTCAGTTCATTAAGTCTGACATCTATTCGACAAACCATTACTGAGTTAATTGAGAAAATTAATTAAATATTTTTCGTCTGAAATTATTATACGTGTGAATAATAATAATGCATTCATTGACTATATATTTGACTATCATATCATTCCTAAACATATTTTGTGGTGAGTTCATGAATCAATTAATATAACTATATAAATGTACTAGATATCATTGTAATTTAATTTAAATATAAACTAAATCGTGTATTGGGTCTGACTTTTGAGTGAGTTTTGCTAACTTTTTTGATGTGAAGTACTCGTAAGTAATGACAATAAAGTTAAGACAACGTCATGGTCTCTCTCAGCAAATATAATTGAGGCCTAAGTTTATTCAACTTATTTGTATAATTCACATAAACCTTGGGACTGGCCTTTCATGTGTAAAA